TCCGTCGCCTTTGCTGCCGGAACCCCGGCTTTGCATGAGGTGCCCGAAGAGGATCGTTGGCTTGAAGCCGCCGCCCCGAGCCGGCTCCCGGCGCGTGGCTGAATGTAGCTTGCACTAGGACCGCGCTCCAACAAGTGGAAAAAGTGCGCAAGGAAAAAATACAGCTCTTGCTTGCTTTGTAAACATGAGCGCTCAGGTGCCAAACGGCAGCCTGTCCGGCGGGCAACACGCGCTGCCACGCAAGGCTGGGGGCATCCTCACAATCGCTGTGCAGAGCGGGGTGTCTGCAGCGGGGTGGACGATGCGTGCCAAGGAGCCAGTCCCCCTGCCTGGCCGCAACCTTGGACGGCGTTGACCTTGCTGGCGGAAAAAGGTGCGCGGAGCGGCAGGCGACTCGGCCCGCAGCATCAGGGAGGTCACGTACTCGATCCAGCTCTGGGCCCTGTTGTGGGGTGATGCCAGGCGGTGCTCGCCACGGCCTGTTGCACTGAGATGGACACCCTTTTTTCGGCCAACTCGAAGGTCGCGAGCAGCTGTCTCGGGCCTCACCGCCGTGGCGGCACGCGGCTGGCCGGCGCGTGGCCCAGCGAGCATCCGCCAGGACCTCGTGCAGCTCAGGCACCTCCGACGAGCTGCTGCGGACCGCCAGCGAGCAACTCCGGGTAAGCTGCTCGCGTGCGGCGCTTTGCGATCCGCAAGGCGGCCCCGTCATGTGCAGCGGCGCAAGGCTGGGGCAACCCATGCGCGATAGTGGCGAGACCAAGGTCGCATCGCAGCAGAGGGCCCCGCCAAGCTGCGTGGCTCTTATTTGCGCATTTACCCGCCGTACATGGCACGCAGCGGCAGCTGAAAAGGCACAGGGTGCCCGCCCTAAGGCGACCCACGCGTTCACAGCTGCACACTAGTCCGTTATGAACACGCTACGCTAAGAATGTAAAGCAAGCACTGCACGCTTACTTTTTCACATTGGCGGAGGGCAAAATCCGATCGGTTGAAACAGGAGGCACCGAAGATGCCGGGCAGAGAATGCTGGACCGGAGTGAACGGCAGTACTGAGCCTGGCAATGCATGGCAAGGCAGTGCGGGGAAACCGATACGTTGAGTCAAGTCAAGTCAGGCCTGAAAGCCCTTAGGCAGCCCATTTAGGGCTCAGGGAAATCTAGCATTAACTATACAGAAAAGCGGCGCTCACACGTGCTCCATGAAAGACAGAAAATCCGAAAGCAGTGTTGACCATCTCGCCTCGTCTTGGGCTTCAAATTGCCAGTTCTCACATCGTTTCCACCGACAGAAGTTTTGAAGCATGGAATCCCACTGGTACCTGGGTCGCCCTCGATACGTTGATCGGCCAGAATCGGCCACAGAAGCAAGCCACAGCGAGTAAGGCTCGCGGCAGGGAAAAAGATTGGGCGGTCAGATGTATGCACTTCGCCTTGGAGCCAGGGCTGCAAAGCGGGCGGAGGAGATTCGTGCATATTTGCCGTTGCGTGTTAGCTGCAAACTACGTGTAGAAGTGCATCCACGAAGACGCCTCTGATTGCAAAAGGCGACCCACGGAAAGCTTGATAGCAAATGCCAAAGGCGACCCACGGAAAGATAATCCCCAGGGAATCGCGCTTGCCAGACTACTTTTGTAACATAACTAAAAACAATCAAAATGCACGCGAGACCTCGCGCAGATTACCGCTTCCACAGGATCTACCAGAACAGAAACTGCAAGGGGCCGCCCTGGCCACGTGTCCAAAAGATAATTGCGCCATGCTAGAGAACTGCAGTGAAACGCTGTGATGAGATGCCTCTTGCATGCGCTGGAGGTCGCGCGAAGCCGTCTGCCTGCATCGACCGACACGACCAGCGCAGGCAGAAACAACAAAACAAAAACACAAAAGTAGAAGCCCACACTTCTGACCTCAACCATTCCCTCGTAACCCGAACAGGCTACCATGATGCAAACCTGCGCTGCGAGAACTGTGCCGCCTTTCTCCATGTCCAACTTGGGTAGGATCTGTGAGCATTTCAGCACACTGCATTGACGATTGCAACCTCCCGAACATGCAGGCAGGTGCGATACCCCTTGCACGGGGACTGCGTTGACCGGTGAGAAAGAAAGTGCACGGGGGAAAAAATGGCGCAGACTGCACTTGGGATTCCCGTCGGGCACGAGGAGCACGTGCAGGCGCAGGCAGCCGCCCGTGCCCGAGGAGGAGTTCCATCTGCTGCGCCACTTGCCGCAGTTCCTCGATCTGCAGTGCGCGTGGTTGCTCACCTTCTGTGCCGCACCCCTGGCGCAAGATGTTTTGTTCGGACTTTACGCCTGCTGCTCCGTTCGGTCGGCTACGCCTACGCTGCCCCTAAACTACCTGGGCTAGCTGCGCCCGCAGTGGCAGCCGGCTCGGGTCGGGCGACCCGGGCACCAGGAGACGCTTGAGCGGTGCAGGCTCACCGGCCGCGGTGGATGGCCACGTGCGGCCCAGGGCTGTGGTCTCCACGGCCTGTTGAACCGCGACCGAGATGATGCTCCACCAATGCCTTGCCCAGCCGCGCGGCGCACTGTTGGCGGCGCAATGGCGTTCGGCCGCGTAGCTGCTTGTACCTAACTATGGTAGCCTCATGCCCGAGCCCCCAAATTGGTTTCAGGCCTGACTCTGACTCTGGCGGTTGGTGGCACTGTGCGCAGCCCGTGGTTCGCTCGCGGAGATGCGCAAAGCGCGAGCAGCAACCATGAACGCGCAACATTTCCTCCGCAACCTGCCGGCGGCGGCCGTTGCCCACTATGCGCGTGCACACGATGCCGTTTGGCATAAACCCGAGTCCATGTTGGGCGACAAGGATTCTCGTTCTGACGCATGGCGTGTCGCGCGGGACATCGCGCATTTCACAAGCTGCCTATTGGGCAGAGTGGGCAGTCGCTTTGCCCGTTTTGCATCGGTGGTGCCGGCCTGCGATGGAGCACTGCGGTGCTTGTGTCAGCTGTAGACGGCCGCGGCGACAGCATCGTAGCGGGCCCCACAGGCATGCCCACAAGCCACGCACCCGCCTGCGGGCCTGCCGGTGGAAACAGCATTGCCCGTGTGCTCGGGTCGATCTCCGGCAAAGGACGCGCTCTCGGAAAAAAATGTGAAATCGCGGGAAACGCATGCTGCCGCATCCCCAAGCGCCGGGCTCAGCTGCTGCAGATGGCACTTTATGCTCGAGCGAGCGTGAGTCCCGGTTGCGTGGGAGGCCGTTGGCCCTGAAGGACGCGTCGTTCCCAAGCAATGGCTCACCAATACCCTGGCGCCGGGAGTGGCCGGACGACCGCCGACGGTGGTCACAGACATGGCACGTCGTCCGGCGAGACGGGGAGTGGTGGCATGGTCCAAACCGCGAGCACGGAGGCTTGCCACAGCGCACTGCCGAGCAACTGACAGGACTCGACGTGCCCATCCCTGCGTCGCCGACGCCCGCAACGAGGCTGGCGCGTGCCAGGCCGTGAAGCGCAGGAACTAACGGAGGATTTGAGCAACCCCATCGTGGGCACTTGCGCCGGGGACGGGACGACCGGCTCGGGTCATCTCGGGTCAAAGGCGAGACGAGCGTCGCATATGCGCACAGTGCGTCTCCGTTCCTCGTTTGCCCGTAAGCAACGAAGTCGGCAACGTCGATTATCCAGCGGGACTTGTGGGGCAGCGCAAGGTCCAAGATCAAAGGGGAAGATGTAGAGAGTGTTCAGCCAAGGGTCATTTCGCCAAGGACTGTCCCACAAAGAATGGCAAGGGCGATGGGAAAGGAAATGGTAAGCCTAAGGGTAAATACGGCGGCAAGTCCACTGAAGGTGGAAGTCAGAACAACGCAAGCTCGAGCGCAAAGACGGCATCCGCTGCGTCCCCAGGTTGCGCGAGGGGCAACTGTCAACCCCGGCTTGCGGCAGTGTTGCATCGACCGCGAGCTGCGCGCCGTGCCACAAGTTAAATCCGTTGCACAACTGTTGCACGCGACGTTCATAGCCCCACTGCACGAACGAGATTCTGCACGCCGGGATTTGAACGTGCAGACCCTGGCACTGCGGCTGCTCTTCCAACGAGTGCTTGTCACTGTGTAGAACATTACCGGTTGCATCACGAGAAACGTGAACATTTAGCGCGGAACCTTGCTAAAACGTTTGTGTCAAGCAGCAGGTTCGGCCACTTGGAGCGATCCCACACGACAGGCCGCCCGATACCGTTCGGTTTCATGCACAACATCACGATCGCATCGTGCGGCGTTCCGCGGGCACTGTGGTTTTGAATCTGCAGTGTCAACGAGCTGTCCTCTTGCAGCGTGAGGCCCTGTGCAGCTTCTGTTTGGGGATTGGCGAGTGACATCGACAGGGTCACCGAATCCTTACGGTGCTGGCGTCGTGTCTGGCAAGGCTCCACCAAGGTGACAACACAGGGCTGGCGTAATTTTGAAAGTCTTGACGGCTGGACAGGCTCGAACGGTCAATGTCAACGCACCAGCACGCGAGCTGGCAGGTATGCATGCCCCAACACTGACCACGAGCGGAACTGCCAGGCATACAAGGAGAGAAGAGGTGCCCGAAATGCACAGGTACAAACCTTTCCGTTGCCCATGTTGGCAGGCTGTGCCACGCTTGCCATGCTTCTCGACATCTCCACAGTGCCACAAACCACCACCAAGACACGCTTGTGGCACGGAGCCATGGACGCTGGCATGAGCAGCAACTTATACCTAAGCGAACTAGCCGTCAAAGACATGGGCCCATTTGGATCTTTGCATCATGCTTGCGTGAAAAACCTCGGTTCCGTGAAGAGAAAAATGGAATGCCCTGAGGCGACATTGGTGTGAGCTCAATTTGAGACATCTCGGCTAAACCTGACCTCTTGGAACGAAACCTGCATTTTCCACATCTAATCACCAGCTCGGCCGGGAGATCCGAATGAACCGATGCCGACCCGTGCATGACAGCAGAGCGTGGGTCGTCGGACATCCTTAGATCCCTCTCAAATTCCCTCAGGGGCCTCCAAACGCTATGCGTTGCAATGCCAATGCAGCGTGCGGCACACCGAAACCTGATGCTTGAGAAGACAGAAAATGACAGATCGTAAGACGACAAAGCTAGGCTCACGTTCGGGCAACCTGCCTTTCACACTTTTAAAGCACAAAACCTCAACTGCTTAGAACGATACGCGCTGTCATTCAGTGAGTGTCCTCGATGCTAGCCTCATGCTAAATCGGCTTGACCGACCCCCCAAGGCCTACATCCTCACGAAACCCGAAAAGATCAACAGCCAACTGACAGAGAGCCACAACAGCTGCTGCCAATTCCTTGGTCGATCTTGCATTCTGCCATACAGTGCAGCACAACGCTTGAAATCACCAAGCGGCGCTGCTTGAAACAGATGTGCCCAGGAAGGCAATACCAAAGCAAAGCCTCAGAGAAACTGAAGAGACAAAAATCAAACAACGTTTGCACCCAGGCACGAAAGAAACACCCAGATGCAGCTCACACAAAATCTAATCATGGACTGCGGCCCAAATGGCGTGATTATACAAAAGAAGATGCAGATGCAGCTCAACTGATGGGCAAATGCCAAAACATCTTTGCTTCGGCGGGACTGCGCCAGCGATATCCTTGGCATGCATCCATGCAAAGACGTACAAAAGATGTACTTGTATGTCCTTCATGACGGTGACATCCCAAAGCGTCAAGCCCAGTTACAGTTTTGGAACCACGGAATCCCTCTGCTCCAAGGGTAGCCCCATGGTTTCTTGGTCGATGCGGAGGGCTCGGATGATCATCAGAAACACTCCAGCAAACCACCACAGGATGCCGAACATGAATGTGAGCCTGAGGGTCACGGAGCGGCACAACCCAACTTAGCTGACTTAGCTGTGTTCATGGCAACTGTATGATGGCACAAGCGAGGCTGTGGCTTTTCAGCTACCCGGATGAACCAGGGCAACTGGTCAAACCAAGTGTTGGTCGACTGCCGCGCAGCGTGCAACACCAGTGCGACCACGAGAGCATACGAAACCTCGCAACCACACACAACATGACAACACGCGTGAGGTGCTTGCACAAGCCCCGAATCCATGTAAGTTCCATGCCACGAACGTAGTGCAAGAAAGAAGCTGCCCAAGAATGGGCCACGCCGCACGACAACGCCAGGCCAGTGCTCGTACTGAATGTACGTGTTTCACGCTCCTGCTACACGATATGGTGTGGATTGAAATCAACACGCAGAGTAGCACCCCATTTTGGCCTGAAATTGAAACCAACTGATGATGCCGCGCACGCAAAGATAGAGAAGAGGCTGCATGACACTTTGGCGGCTGCATCCAAAACAATGGCACTTTAATGTCGAAGGCTGACTGGCGACATCGATGTGGCTTTCTACTGCATACTGCATACAGTCAACATGTGCTGATACTGCATGGAATTGAACTTGAAGAGTCGAAGCTGTATGCACATCCGGAACACATCGCCATAAACTTTTGAAACTGCTGCTGACACGCGTCGAGCAACAAACAAGGACTATGGGAAACAAACCGAGTATTTTCTATGCAAAACGCTGCACTACGAAGAAACACCTCACAACCGAACAAAATGCATGAAAACTGATCAGCTCAAGTTGCGAATTCTTGTCATTGTTTGGGAATGCGCTCGGTTCTTTGCAAAGATTCATAATCCCCTGGAATCCTGGAAGGTGTTTTACTGTTCAAGCAACATATCGTCTGCGCCGCGGTTTTTCATCATTATGATTATAAACGATCGCCAAGCGATCGCCAAGCAAAAACCATCGACTGTTGCAAACCTGGCGGAATCCGGGTTTTCGGTGTCCGCTACGAGGTACCCTGGGATTGCCTGAAAACTTGTCAAGTCATAAACGAGCATTAAACAAAACTGGGGTTTTCGGGGTCCGCCGGAGGGTACCCTAACATTTGCCCCGGACTTGTGCTTTTATACGTGATTGTGAATTATAATCGACTATGAATCAACAAATAGCTAAGCAACAAATTATTCAAAAGCAATTCTCAAGCAATAAATGAGGCACAATAATTCATGAATAACTCGTTAATCATTGATTAATCGTGAGTTCATTGACAACTCATTGATACTTACTAAATGGTTTTATAACAAGTAATTAATAACTAGTTCATACATAAAATTCAAGAATAATTCATTCAATAATGATATATTCACACTTCGTGATTACACAATTGAGTGGTAACCTATTCTCTTAATCTCAACATGAAGTATAGTTTCTTATTCGCATTATTCATGACTGTTTGTGGTGTGTAAACGACATCCTTGAACCGCGTGGTGCTTCCTGCATTTAAGGCTCGGAACCTCAGCTTGATGGTCAATCAGCCTTGCCAATACAGCAAACAAATGCCCGTAGCTGAACGTAACAGAAAAGCAATAAATTGCGGTCTGTTTTTTTGCTTGCCGCCGACTCAAGTGGCTGCAGCGTCGCTTGTTGAAGCAGGGTCCGACCTGGGTCCGTGCCCTGGCGAAAAACAAAACGACGACGCAGCCAGGCGGGAAGCCGAGAATCTTCTCCATGCCTCGCGATATCTGTCGGAATGATTTTCTGCGTTCCAGAAAGCATTTCGTTCAAATGACCTCCGGAAGACACGCGAACTTGACACACGAACCCTAAATTCAAAAAAGGAGGCACGCCGATGACCACGCGAACTTTTTCTCGACACACGAACCCTAAATTGAAAGGACGCCGATGACCACGCGAACTTGACACACGAACCCTAAATTAATTGAAAGTAGCAGGCACGCCGATGACCACGCGAACTTGACACACGAACCCCAAATTGAAAGGGCAGGCACGCCGATGAAGACGCGAACTTGACATTGAAAGGAGCAGGCCGATGACCACGCTCAATTGAAAGAAGCACGCCGATGACCACGCAACCCCTAATTTAACCTAAATTGAAAGAAGCAGGCACCCCGATGACCACGCGCACCCTAAATTGAAAGAAGTAGGCACGCTGATGACCGCGCGAACTTGACACGAGAGGCAGGCACGTGGATGACACACGAACCCTAAATTCAATAAAAGGAGCGATGATGACACACGAACCCTAAATGGGAGCAGCCAGCCGATGAAATCACGATGACCGCGAACTTGACACACGAACCCCAAATTGAAAAGAGCAGGCACGCCGATGACCACGCCGATGACCCTGCGAACTTGACACACGAACCTACATTGAGCAAAAGCCGAGAACTCATCGATTTGTGCGGTCAGAGCGTTTTGATTTGGAGCATACCCCGCGGGCTTGGGTTGAGGGTTGGAGTTCAACTCAGGTTACAACCCTGGGTCCGACCCTCCGGGGGGGGGGGCGGCTAACCCCAACCCTGGTTTCGGGTTAACCCGAACCCTAACCTGGGATGGAGTCCGAGTTCGACCCAGACCCTGATCCGAGTTAGGGTTCAGGATAACAGATAGCCGAACCTCAGGTATCAGGTCAAGATAATCTGAACCCTAACCAAGATTAGGGTTGGGTTATCCCTATCCTCAACCCCTCCGGGTTAGGAGGGAGTTAACCCTGACCCCAACCCGGACCCCCCTCCCCTAAGCTCCCCGTTGGGGTTGCCCCTCCAGGGTTAGGGTTCGGGTTCACCTGACCTCAACCCGGACCTGGGGTTAAGGGTCCGGGTCAACCCCAACCCTAACCCCTCCCCTAAGCTCCCCCTTAAGGAGCCAGGGTTAGGGTAGGGGTTAACCCTAACCTCAACCCGGACTTGGGGTTAGGGTTCGCGTACCTAACCCCTCCCCTCTCCCTTAAGCTCCCCCTTAAGGAGCCGGGGTTGGAGTTAGGGTTCGGGTTAACCATATTCTCCCACCCGAAGCCTAACGTGCTAACCCCAACCCTAACCCGGACCTGGGGTTGTTCAACCCCAACCCTAACCCTCCCGTCCCCCCTAGGCTTCCCCTTAAGCCCCCCTAAAGCGCTCCCTTAAGCCCGCAGACTCCGATTACAAACGGGGGGGGATGCGCGCCCCCCCCCCCGCAACAAGCGACAAGAAACAAAGGGGGTTGAAATTTGGAAGAATTCTACGTCTCTTCTTCTATGCAAAACGACAAGAAACAAAGCGGCTATGCTGCCAGGTACCTGGTCAGGAGCGATGCTACAAGCATCGAGGGGGGATTTAAAATAAGAGAGAGAAGAAAGGAGAGACAGAGAGAGAGAGAGAGAGAGCGCGAGCGAGAGGAGAGGGCTTTCGAGGAATGAAATAAGAAACAAAAACAAGCTTTCGAGGGGGGTGGAACCTCCCAAACCCCCCCGGCATGACAGAACAAAAAACCAGAAACGAGGGGGATGAAGTTTAGACCAATTTTCTACTTCTCCAATGATTTTCGACAAATGAGCACAAGAAAACAAAAACAAGAAACGAGGGGGGTGGAATTTAGATGAATTCTCTACTTTTTTCTCACTCCTCTGATTTTCGAAGAATGAACACAAGAAACAAAAAAAGATGAGCGACGGGACGCTTACTCTCTACTCTACTTCTCTGATTCAAGAAACGATGGGGGTGGAATTTAAATGAATTCTCTACTCCTCTGATTTCGAATAACTCATTCGCTGCCGAAAAATACAAGAAACAGAAACTAAGAAGCGAGGGGGATGGAATTTAGAGTAAGTCTACTTCTCTCGACTTCTTCTCGGCTTTTCGAACAATGAACACAAGAAACAAACCAAAAAGTGGAATTTAGATTGAGCCCCTGCTCCTCTGATTTTCGAAGAATGAACACAAGAAACAAAAAACGATGAACGAGGGGATACTTACTCTCTACTTTCCTTCTCTGATTCTCAAATAATGAGCACAAAGAAAATCAAGAAATGAGGGGGGTGGAATATAGATGAATTCTCTCTTCTCTGATTTTCGAATTTTTTCTCAACTCGATCATTCTCTGCTTTTCGTAATAAATACAAGAAACAAAGAACCAGAAACGACGAGGGAATTTAGACTGATTTTCTGCTTCTCGACTTCTTCTTGGTTTTCGAACAAATGAACAAGAAACAAGCCAAGAAACGGGAGTGGAGTTTGGGTTAATTCTCTATCCTCTGATTTCGAAGAATAGACACAAGAAACAAAATTTCTAATCATGAGCACAAAGATCTCTCTTTTCTAATTTTCAACATTGGGGCCAAGGGAAGGGGGGACGGCGCAACCTACGGTTAGGATTTGGGTTGACCACTCCTCAGGGTTGGATTTTCGCTAACCTGAACTCTATTGGGAACAGAAACTCCAAAATTTCGAGTTAACCCCAATTTCTATCTTCCTAACTGGGTTGCTAGTTGCAACCTGGGCAAAAAAGTTGTAACAAAGTTGAACCAACCCTGAAAACTTTTGAGACTCACGAGCACAGCTGCGTCGGCACATGACATGAGGCATGACTGTCAAGCTTCTGGGCAAACAAACTATCCCACCACATAAAATCTTCACAAGGAAAATACATGGTTGAGTGTCCCCATGCATGACATCGAAATCGTGATCACCCCGCCAAAGGATGATTTGCCGTGCTACGCAAAGCAGGCTTTCAGAACGATTCGGTATGTACAGGCCTACAGGCACCTCCTAACCTTTGACCTTTGGGCAACATCCTGATGTGCAAAGGAGAGGTTACCGGCCACATGCAGAATTTGCCAATCTCTTAGAGATTTGAGCTTACTCCACTGCAATTCAAGAAAATTTGCACACAAGCTCAGGTACAGTGGTACCAGCCAGCGACTGCATCCACAAGAGACATCATGAGCATTTCAAGAAATTGCGTCTATCTAATTCTGCTTCATTAAAACACACACGCAACGAAAAGATGTGGGTCATCGTGATTGGGCTCATTTACGTATCATCATGCGGCTCGGGCTCTGGAAGGATCTGAAGCGTGGGATTTGGCAGCTGTGGGCCATGCACATGCAGAATATGGTACATGGTGGCCAATCGTGCAATGTCCTGGCGACGTGCAAGCTCTCGAGTCCACAACTGGCACAAGGAACACACGTCATACTGCAGCTGGCCATACGTCAGCCTACGAACCTGATGGGGCCTCAAAGCATCGCACTCACCAAGAAGATGAAAGCGGATTCCACTTCTTGGGCAATCCATACAGCATCTTCCCTCACCCGAAGGATGTCATCATCCTGCAGCAGTGCAGGCTGCTGCATGTTAGCTGTCTGACCAGCTGGAGTCACAGGAATTGCTGGAACATCTTTCGCTGCGGCATCACCAACCGGCTCTGAGTCTGGCTGCTCAGATTCAAGTTCAGATTCACTCGGTGTCATAGACGGTGACCGACTTGACTAAGGATCGCTGCACGAGTATGCAGTGAGTAATGCTGTAAATCAAAACTTTTTACGGCTATCGTCGGAAGGCACATCCGCAAGAGCAGGTACTTCGGCTAGCAATGGCTGCTTGAGCCTCTGTTGCTTTAAGCCTAAACCAACTAGGCACCCAACTAACTGCGGTGTAACCGAAGACTAAACCACTCCAAAAGGGATGCAAAGTTCAAGTTTGGCCATTGGACAAGGTATGCAGAAGCAGATGGCTGGAGAAACCTCAGTCACAACTGCGAGTAAACCAAGTGGTCCTTATCCTGGTGCGAGTGGTATCAGAGAGAGAGGAGGGTCACGCTTTGTGAACGAGAAGGGATGTTGCGCTGTGCCAATAAGAATTGTTTTTGGCGCGATCGTCACTTGAAGAAGATTATCTTTAGCGAAGACACAGCCAATGTCTCCCTGTGGAGCAGTTCACGTGGCACGGGAGAACCTGAATCCCCGTGGATGTTGCAAGCCCACGCTGGAGGTTGACGTAGGTACGAGGCTGACGATACCTTCAAACCTGGTGAAAAGTGTCACACCCTACAATGCCAACACGTCGCTGCAAAAGGGACAAAGCTCGAGGCTTTTGGAGTAAAGCCACTGATCGAGAAAAGGCTGCGGACAGTGGTTTTTATTCATCGCAAGCTGATGTGAGGTCATCTGGACGTGAATTGAACAGCGATGTGGTGAAGACTTGCAAGCATGTTGTGTATAGAACACTGCTTGGAGTTTGTGGTGCATGTGCAAAAACTAAATGACAATCAGCGGTTGGAGGCTAAGACTTTGTCCAGTGAAAGAGTGTTTGCCGCAGCTGAGACTGATTTGGATAAGGAGGATTTGCCCAGCCACAACAGGACGATCGCGCAGCTGTAACAAGCTGAGATGGAGATTTGGCCAACCGCAAAAGAGAAGATTTGCCCAAGATGAGACGAGTCGCCCTGCGCAACAAGCTGAGAGGCTGAGATTTCTCAGCTACCCCAAGATGCAAAAAATTGCGATGTGCAACAAGCTGAAAAACCCAGCCATGGCTAGAGACTGAGACTGAGATTTGTCCAGCCACAACAAGATTTCCCACAACAAGCTAAGTGGTAACAAGCTGAACAGCTGAGAAGTTGAAATCTGTCCAGCCACAACAAGCTGGTAAGATGCTGAGATGTGTCCGAGAGGTGATTATTTGCCTACAACAAGCTGCGAGGCTAAGATTTGTCCAGCCGCAACAAGCTAAGTGGCTGAGATAGCCAGGTAAACTGAGCTCTTTGTGGCTGGGGGAAATCTCAGCTTGATTTTTTTTGTTATGATTTCGTCGGTCCCTCGTGCTCCCGCAGCCTACAACGAACCTGAATGGAGTTCAAATACTACGCACACGTAGAGAGCGCATGACATGTTGGTGACTTCTGAACGCAGCGCTCAATCCTTCATTTTTCTTTCGCATTCGCAAACTGGGGTTCACATCTTGTGTGGCGCATGCCAATAGCACCTTGGCTTTGCCACCGTGCTGCCCTCATCAATCCCTGGGTGGGTCGGGCGGGTCAAAACTTTCTTTCTGGCAGCGTTCCACACTTAGACAGAAGCAAGCTGTTGTAGCACTCGCACTATTATGTACAAACTGCACAGCACACATGCTTTTGGCTCGCACACTTGAGCCTCGAAACGAGCACGCATCACGCTCATGAGGACTGCTCCCGCACACTCAGGATGTCTGCTCAATTCCACAAATTTCACAGACTGCCGACTGCCTCATAAATCGCTATTAGTTTGCACGCTGCACTAACAGCAAGCTTATGATTTCGTCGGTCCCTCGTGCTCCCGCAGCCTACAACGAACCTGAATGGAGTTCAAATACTACGCACACGTAGAGAGCGCATGACATGTTGGTGACTTCTGAACGCAGCGCTCAATCCTTCATTTTTCTTTCGCATTCGCAAACTGGGGTTCACATCTTGTGTGGCGCATGCCAATAGCACCTTGGCTTTGCCACCGTGCTGCCCTCATCAATCCCCAGTCTGCTTCAGTAGCCTAGTCTAGTCAAAGAAGGATTGCAGCTGCTGGCCGGTCATAGGGCAGGTGAGCGCTTCGACATTGACGCGCCACCCTTCAAGCTCCGCCAGCGTACCGCGGCTAGGCCCATCTGCAATGTTCGACTTTGACGGCACCCTTGCTACCCATAGGAAGGCGGGCTCGCATTCGAGCGGATCCTCCAGAAGCAAAAGAAGCTCTCTCCACATGGGAACAGCAGAGGCACCCTTTATGAGCACATCTAAGGCAGGCCAGTTTTTCGACTTTCGAGACGCAGCAAAGTTATCCTTGCCTAGCGAGCAATCAAGAGTGCGGCAAACAGAAAGTTGCCGGCCTATTGAATAGGCGCGAGGGTCCCATAGGGTACCCTGCCAACTTGATGGTGAGAGAAAACGCATCTTCACATCTTGTACAGTTTGTACACAAGGGAAGTCAGGACTTCCGAAACTCTACAGTCTACAGCCCATCCCTGTATCACTCATCTCATCTCATCTCATCTCAGATGCATGCTGCCTTGGTCGGCTGCTCATGTCGCACGCACCACAGCATTTTAGCACCTCGCTGATGCCCGTGCTGAAGAGTGCAAGCATACGGAGTATGGGCTTCTTTTGCAAGCAGCAAGTCATCGCGGTGACGGAGGATGGTGCAGTACTTGCCCAGAGAGGCTCCCGACGCCCCTCCTAAGTGCATGCCCACTGCCTGAACACTGTATGAGGTGTATGCAATGTCTAGCGAAGACACATCGGCAAAGGTTGGTACAAGAATGCTATCCCAGTCCCATGTGATGCACGGTGAAGATGCACGCAAACAACAGGCAGAGTTGGGCACGTCCGGAGACAGAGCTACAGCATCACTTCGCTGCGATAGGTCCCGATCTGTGTCAGGCTGCCGCGCAGGCAAAAGGTAGAGTGAAAGAACGGATGGAGGATCCAGCAGGCCACAAAACTCATCAGAGAAGGCCCAAGCCTCCAGGCATTGTTGCACATCTACAGCAGTGATGTCCGCAGGAACACGTAGGCCAATACCATGTGAGGTTGACCGAGTGCCACAAATCTGCATCTTGCCTCCAGTAGCTGATCTACGTTGCCAGCTACCATCGAAGCATCTCACGCCTGGCATGTGCACTTGAAACAGAACTTGCATGGCCCCAAAGTGATGAGAACCGCACCTCGCCCATTCCCCCTGGATGAGGCGCCACTCCTTAATGGTTTGCAGTAAGGGGCCAGATTCCGGTGCTTGAAGCACCCGCCACAGACGCTGCAGATTCTGGGGCATGGGCCCTCGCAAGTAAGTAAAAATCCACAGTGTGCCTACCAGCCATGCAAGGCCACATGTATGCATCAGAGACACAGGCAGACAACTGCACCGGAGGGCCTCTTGCATTCCCGGATGAATGCACTGCACACAGCTTCCCCCGTCCATGAAGGGCAGCACGCCAAGTGGGTTCAGCGCAGATAGTCCTGGATCCTCTGTGCCGTGGCAGACCGTCCCGGTTTGTCTTTGCGAAGACGAGCACCTATGATCTGCAAGACCGAGCACTGGCACAACACCTTCAGGCTCCGATACAGGTCCGCCGCCTCCTGACCCCGGTGACCCACTTCTATCTCGAAGTGCACGAACTCCGAGAAGCTGTATTCGGCCTTCGCATGGAAGCGATACAGCACGGGACTCTCGTTGGCCTTCTCGCAGACCGCAAGCAGCTGGTGGATCTCCTCTGTTTTCAAGGGTGTGCGACTGGCATCCACCTGAAGCTTCTCCAGCTCGTGATCCCAGACTTGGTATACCCAGTGTCCCTGCGCATCCAGGAGTTGAACCTTTTTCGCATTCTCCAGCAGCTTCTCGTCCGTGGATACCTGGTGGAGTCGGTCCTTCAGGGCTTTCAGCATGCCAGCCATCATCGTAGCCCTCAACGACGCCTGGAGCTGAGCTGGCGTGGTGTCTCTCATCTTCTTCCACTTTTTGGACACCTCCCACAGCATCCCCACGATGGACTCTTCCCCAGTGTTCCGCAGCCACAGGTGAAGGACAGAATCTTGACGTTGAAGACTCAGTTGATCCTCGTGCCTCAGGATCAGTCGTGCCATCTGCGTCATGAGGTCCTTCTCGTAGTGTCCCCTCCAGGAATTGTCCTCCGGAAGCGTCCATCTGTCCTTGGCCTGCTCTCGTCTGCCACCATTCTTCCCACGCCCTTTGCCCTTGCCTTTGCCCTTGGGTTTCTGGGAGCTCCATGCCCTCGACTCCTCCTCCTCCGTCTCGCGGCGTCGTTTGAAGGGATTCTCGGAGTCCTCCATCGGCGCAGTCCCCTGTCGGAAGCTGCCAAAGAAGGCTTCCATCTCCTTCGCACTGGCTCCCGCCATTGCTTTCAGCAAGGAGGCTTCCAAGAAGAATACTGGTGCTGATTACAGGACACCTAGCGGCATGTCGGGATTTATCAAAGTTTTGTAACCCACAGTACCGGCATGGCTTAACCATCCCCCTACGGAAAACCGAAGCAATTTGTTTGATACGCGGCTGTAGGTCATGCCATTGTGGGTGCACATCCTGAAGATGGACCTTGACCCCACTGGCATTCACGCACCACTGGTTGCACAACGGGCAGAAGTGCAGCACACGTTCCCTGACAAGACGAAGATCAAGCAAGCCTTGCCACCCTTGGGCTCGCACTGTGGCTATCACCAGCGGATGTTGTCGAAGCGACAGATTGTCCGATGGAGTTTGCTCAAGTAAGGGCAGCCTGCAGTGGCCACCAAGCACATGCTGCTTCAGGGCACCCCACGAGGAGAAGGGCCGACGACACGCAGCACAAGTTGGCATGCCATCTACGCCACAGCGACTCTGCTCATACAACGGCCTGGTCACCACTTGAGAAGCTGGATGTTTCCTGGTCATGTGGATTTTTACACCCGTCACATCCTTGAAGTAGAGGCCGCATACTGGACACGCCTGTCCTCGCACAGCCAGCGGTAGCGGAATGAGTGCTGCAGTGGAGGCGGACGCTGAATCAGGCACAGTGCTCGCATTTGGAGGAAGGGGCTCCTGCAGCTGCTCATAGGCAGCAGTCACTTTCAGGAGCCAGTCCATCTGTTCCAGACAGAACGACCCACGCTGAACCTGCCGGTGCTGAGCCTCAGGCAGCTGTTTTGCCTGGATGCCACGAAGATGGGTCAGCTCAGTGGGAATACGCAGCCGATCATACAGCCTCGCAGTGGACTCTTTACTCAGGTGGACTGGCGAGCGAGTAATAGCCCGGATTTGTCTGGCACATTGAACTTGGATGAGCTTAAGCAGGCCTTGCCGCAAGGGAATGGAGTCAAGTCCATAACGCAGACACGACAGCACACAGACCTGCCATACTCTCAAGCGCTCTTGCTGATTCAAGGTACTCTTGGATGTCAAGACAGGCCTGAGGCGGTGGTAAGCAGCTTTGCTTTGCTCCAACCGATGCAGAACCGTGGCTTTTTCATAGGCCTGATAGGACAAAATAATCCCCAAGTACTTATGTGTAGTTTTGATGGGCAGAAAAGCAATGGTTTCACCCACTCGGATACGCAAGAAGCTGCCTCCTTCACGGTGAAAGACATGATGTTTTCGCCATCTTTTGGTACACGCCCCTTTGAGATGCATGAGAACTGCAGACTTCTTGTAATTAATCAGCATGTTGAATTTTTGCAAGTGCAGAAATAGTTTCCCAGCCTTTTGCAAGAAAGAATCCAAGTCAGCCGCCTGTGCAATCACATCACAAAAGTGCAGCTCATCCGCAAAGAAGGTACAAGAGGACTGAAGCCATTCCTGTGGCAGAAAATCACTAGCCGTACGAAAGAAGTAGCAGGTGTAAAGGACCCATAAAATGGGAGCAATTTTGCACCCTTGCCTAACTCCAACCGTACTGTCAACCGAGCCCTGCAAGTCAGCATGCCTCAAGTGATACTCCATATCCTGATGCCACGCCATTATGGCCGCCTGGAGTTCAGACGGGATATGTGCATCACACATAGCAGCTTGAAGGAGCGTGCGATCCAGCCTGTCAAAGGCCTGGGACATGTCCACACTCACTTGGATGCCTCCAAGGACGGAGCGAGCTGGAACACAGCCCTTGCGGCGATCATACAGGGACAGCTTACCACCTTGAAGGGAGCTGCGCACGAAATCGCAGTGACAAAGAGCACGGTTAATGGCCTGACTAGTCGATCTCTGACCAACGTAAGCAAACTGAGGCCATGCCTCTACATACTTCATGATGAATGGCATGACAGCATCCCGCACAGCTCCAAGCACACATTTCCCATCAATGTCCTGGAGACCGATGGGCCGTAGGTCTCTTGGGACTTTGGGTGTGGCAATCTTTGGTATGAAGGCCAGCCACGCGTCCTTCCAAGGCTTGGGAACCACGGAGGTCAGCTGATGTACAAGGGCTTCAATCGCCTGACAGCCCAATCTGCCTGTCATCTTCCATGCCACGGCTGGGACATGCCCTGGGGGCGCAACCTTGCGCAGAGGGAGGCGTTTCATGTTGGCCAGCAGGGATTCCTCCGTCACATGTTTTGCAAGGCCCGTAAGATCATATTCCTGCCCATCAGCTGTGGCCGACGAGAAAAGAGTGCAGCAGTGGTCCTGCAGGAGTTGCATTTCTCCATGATGATCCAGCAAGGCGCCATCCTCACCTCTCAGACGGACTTTCCTACGGACCTGTTTGGGGGCCAGTTGCCGAACGACCGCATACAGATCATGCATCCGGCCTTTTTGCGATGCTTCTTCCGCTTCCTGCAGCTTGGTCAGGCGCCAAGCCTTGCGGCGTCGGCGCCAAGTTTTTTTCATGTCTCGATGAGATGCATGAAAGCGGGCCTGTGCCTGCCAGACCTGAAGAATGGATTTCAAAGTAACCACACGCGGTCGACGAAATGCATGGTAGCATTTCCACATAGCCTTGATAGACAGGGCACCCTCCTTTTGACACCACGCTGGCCTATAGCCTATCTGTGGGGCGGGTTTAGGGTACAGCTCAAGACAGCTGTCCAGGACAGCAGATTGCAACCCAGCAACAGAGGCCTCTGCTTGCTCAAGCTTTTGATCAAAGAGATTCTGGAAACGTTCCACAGCCTCAGGGTGGTGCAGGTAGTCATGTATCATGGCCTTCTGATCCCACGCAGGCCCCGGCGGAATTGGAGGCTGATGGCATCTCCGGACAGGGCGAAGATCAGCCAGGACGGGGTAATGCTTGCCCCCCTCACGCCATGGAAAGAAGTCCAGGCTTGACGTGTGTGCACATCTGGCTCTTGCATCAGCATCCTGCCTACGGGTATAGAATGGTATAGACATGATCGATGTGCGAGCTGGCATCCGTCGAGCAAAAGGTTACCCCAGCATGCCTGACCCAGCTGTTCAGTAAGCAGAGATCAAAGTCACGGATCAAATCCATGAGCATATCTGCATCGTCATCGAGAGGTCTGGTAACATGGGCCTGAACATTCCCCACCTGCCCCTGCATTGCAGAGCATTGTGTGTTCATATCACCTGCCAGGATCAGGGGATTACGCCTAGGGAGGCGATCAAGAACAACCCGGAGATGACGCCACATCTGAGCCCTCTTAGCCTCATAGTGTTGCACCGGCTTAGGACCAGTGGAGACGCTCTGGTAGGTGTTAACAACGTCCACGGCCGTTTCTCCAAGGTGAATCCTGACGTGCAACAACCTTCCCACTAATATCTCCATGTAGGCAAGGCGGTGTGCTTGGGCAGCAGGTAAGAGGACATGTGAGATCATGACCATCAGCCCGCCTGACCTAAACTCGGAAGGACAGCTCGAGGTAATGACATGCCAACCTGGCGTGGAGTACTCCGAACTATGTTTCCAATGGGTCTCCTGAAGGCAGACGATATGCGGGCGAACCTCCTCGGGGGTCTGCAGCATGGCAGCCATAAAGACATCGTAGGCATCCGTCGCAAGACCACCGACGTTGTATGTCATAAACCTGATACGACACCCTGAAGAAGGTTTTGGAGCCGGGCCAGCAGCAAGGCTGCCTGGTTCTGGGCCAGCGCATGGAGCCCTTTTCGTGCCTGCATATTTCGCCCCCAACTGAGCGATGGTGTGCCAGCGTCCTCGGTACATTGCCCCGCCATCCCGCGTAGCCCGATGCACAGCACGTTTGTAGGCTCGCTTCCTAGCATGGGAAAAGAGGGAGACACCAACCTGACTGGGGGTGCAGTCCGATAGAACACTGGCGGCTCGTGATGAAAGATATGAAGATGCGTAAGGCTCAAACCCGTGATTCCCAGGTGATCGGAGCATGTGATGGTCATCAAATACCGCACCTGGTTCAGATGTAGCCGGGCTCACTACATCAACCCTCGCTCCTTGAGACCCTGGCAGCAAACAAGCCATGATGCACAGAAGAAGAATAGGTGCGGCCCTCGGTATGGATCTCGGACCAAAACACCTGCAGGGTCTCATGCCGGATTTGGGACCGGCAGGGCTCAGTGGAAAGAAAGGTCGAATGAGTGTGCACACACAAGCAGTGAAGCGTGGCCTGGACCATATGGAGCAATTGCACAGAGGTTCAGTATTGGTGGACGGACGAAGGCTGAGCCAACAGAGGAAAGAGGAGAACCAGGTATACCACTGCTGGCTATTCTGATGCATTGGGAGACCTATTCCAGCACCCAATCGAGCACGCTGCTTTCTGATTCCGAGGAGACAGCACGCTTTGGTCCCTATACGCCTCCTCCTATAACAGCCGCGCAGTATCCTTGTCATACCACGACATACCTTCGGGGATGCAACAGCACGCCACAGGCGCTCTGAAACCAGGAGCACTCCCGCTAGACAATGCAGCAAGCAGCCTAGTCCAGCGAGTCCAGACACCCGGCAAAGATCGGCATTTTGTTGCCGCCACGCTTGCCTACAGATCGCCATGGTTCGAGCTGGAAGCAGGGCAGAAAAACAGAGAGCCTTCTCCGTTGGCGCGGGGTGTGGGTCCAGCCTGTGGCTTTGCTTGAGGATGTGACAGGGCAGGGCAGGTAGAAGCCGTGCCAGCCGAAGTCTGGGGTTCCCACCCAGCCAGCATTGGTGCCTCCAATTTGCATGTCGGTATGGCTGACAAATTCTCCAGACACAGAGCAAACGGCAAGATTCAGGTGCCTGAGGTGGGGCACACAGTCGGTAGCTTTCCCACCTGAGGTCAACCATGGTCAGGCAAATTGGCAGAGTGGGTCTGCAGATGTGACTGTTGATAAGAATCCAACCAGTCGCTGCGCATTTTCTTTGGCAATGCCTGGCCCAGGCATGACACCAGTGGGACAAGTACAAGCTAGTCAGGACCTCTGGTATCCAGATTGGGGCGACGTTGTCCAAGGACACCTTCAACATACCGCAGGCGCCTGCCAAACTCACATGCGCACGGGTAGGACACACACCAAGTGGAAGGGGGCCCGGCTTAAGACGTACAGCTTGATCAGGCATCACACGGCTCGCCACGCAGTGATCACCTAGTACACAGAACACAGGCCAGGAAACGCTGTGAAAGCGTTCAGCAGGCCTTCGGCCATCGGCAGGCCAGCAGCACACCCCCCAGCTCTTGAGCCAGTCCAGACAGCTGCACCCACACAGAGCAGATCGGATTGCCCCAGGCCAGAACACATGACGAAGGAAGCGATGGGCAACAGGCTGCAGGTGCAGGCACACTGGTCTTTCTGACAGCCAGTTGAAAAAGCACCGGCGTGCATTGGTAGTGCATAGGGAGTAGTCCCCTAATCCGACATGGACCAGAGCGAGTGCCCTCACCATCAGAGCATGCTGCAAGTGAATGGATGGACTATCATTCTGGTATGGGAACTCCAATTGGTGGTGAAGGACATGCTCACGGAAAGGAGGGGCAAGCTGAAGGTTACAGGACCTGCAGGAGTGGCCCTCAAGCGGCATGGAATTATACCTTTTAGGGATTACCACATACTTATATCCACCCTCATCAAGCAACCAGACCCACTGGTGAATGAACCACCGCTCCTGCCAAGCCCCCAAGCTACAGCTGAACTCTGGCAGCCATGTCAGGCTCAGGTGGCATATCTCAGCTGCTCTCACAGAGCATCGGTCCACTAGCCATACCTGTTGCAGCCAGATATGGAGCAGGGTATCACATCGGCATGGACTCGGCAGACAAGGTAGACTACGTGGGCATGAAGTCACCCTGAAGACCCTAAGGAACAAGATCCATTTCCAGCCCCAACCCTCAAGGTTCAACTCATGCAGGGCCCCACACCTCATGAGGTGCATCGCCACCCGCTGTGCGTAAGGCAGTTGGAGCTCCACGGCATGTCGTCCACGTATATGCGTAATCAGTCGCCATGCAACATCCTCCGGTGGGATCTGGCGGGCTTCCAGCACTGCAAACACGACCTGAAGCCTGTGACGCATTTCGGGCGACATACACCATGCCGGAGTCCATCCTGCCCCCTGCAGGTGCCATGTAAGCTCTTCCACCAGCTCGCCTGCACCCATTGTCTCAGGTGCTCTGTTGTAATGCGGTGGCAGTGCGTGACCAGGGATCAAGGGACCACCAAGCATCGGGCCGCCAGTGGCTCCAACCGTCCGCCGATATTGTTCCACCGCAGTCCGCGAGCTGATAGCAATGGGAGTGGGTGGCGGAGGCCCGCCCGGGGCAGTTGCTGCCTCACCGGTGTTGGCGGCGGCGGCCCAGCCGGACCCATAGCCCCAGGACTTCCAGTGTCCGTTGACGCACGTGCTGCCCCTTCCCCAGTCATCGGAGATCTCGATCTGGACGCTCGAGAGCCTGGGCTGGTAGGCCTGCCCCTTCCAGATGCTGCAGCTGAGGCTGCTCGCCCCGTCGGAAGCGGCCTTGGTCCATTGTCGCCACGAGCACGACCTCGTCCTCGGCCTCGGCTCCGAGCCGGCAGAAACTCACCTGAAGCTGAAGCCGCAGCTCTAGACAGATGTGTCATCATCGGGGCCATGACTTCCTCATTGTAGCCTTCTTGCTGCAGTAACACATCATGCACAGCTTGTGCCAGCTCCCAGTAAGTGAAGCTCTCCGCCACAACGGCCGACTCAAGCAGGTCAGAGAGAGCATCGTAGCCTTCCACCGCTGGGGTCTCCTGGTCATCCAGGATATCCGCCGCTGAGATAGCGAGCGCCTCTGCCAGGTGCATCTTTCTCGCGTCAGGGCTGGGCACCTCCGAGGCTGTTCCGTCGCCGTCCTCTGCCGCCCTTGCAGGGATAGCCAGGAGCACCGTGGCCACATAGGCCATCCAAACGGCCATCGCCCGCAGCCACGCCATGGCTTCAAATCACTAACTACACACATCAACAAAAGAACTTTGAGCCCAGGAGCTTAGGCAGGCCAGTTGTCAATGAACAAGATCACCCGTCGCCCCGACAGGTCAGTCAGCCAGTGCTTCAGAGCGACCACGGCGCCGTAGAGCTCGACGAGTCCAACGACATGCACCTTGCCATCTGAGCGCCAATGAGCAAGCACATCTGGTGGCACCGGCCCGCCAAACACATCAGCTGATCTCTCACTGTCCGGCCGGACCAAGACACCTCCTATTGAGGCTTCCGCGGCTCCATGTTTCTGCGGATCTTCCAACGCGCCATCAGTGAAGACCAAGAGCGGCCTCGTTGGCGCAGAGGCTTTGATCTCACGGGGCCGGCCACGCAGAGGACGGTCTCGGAGAACACGGAACGCCGCGACCCCCTGGATCATCGATGTGGACAGGCGTTCTTTGCAAGTGACTCAACTGACGCAAATCATACAGCGCCAGCCGACCAGCTCGTCCCCATAACTGTGCATCGGCGTATTGAAGCTTGCCGAGGAACGATGGCAACTCGGCAGGAACCAAGCTTCTTTCAGCTAGAACACGGTCAAGCACAGGTTGTAGTTCGCACACACGTGAGTCCTTGTTTCGGACCCGGATGACTCCTTGAGGTGCATCGCTGACGTCGAGCTGCACACCCAGCATGTCAGCTTTGGTCGCAAAAGCATGCAGCTTCTCTTCAGCGTACTGGAACCCAAAAAGAGACAGCATACCCTTGCACGCGCCCAAGGAAGAAGCTTCGCTGAGCGCATGTGATGCGATTGGAAAGTATGCCCAGCTCACGCCAAGACTGCAACCCACAGCATGCAAGAGGGCGCTCACACGCAAGAAGTTGTGCACGCTTGATGAAGCGCCAAAGGGGAGTGTACGCATATAGTATCATAGAGTAGCATTCCACTGCAGAGGAGTCAGGACACTTCACGCACACGACCGACTTGTCATAGTCCTTCGGGTGTAACGGCAGCTGTTTGTATGCTGAACGTAAGTCCAACGACGTGACTCGCAGGTTAGCGCCACTCTGTTTCCACTGTGGGTGCACTGGCGCCGTCATTCGCTCACCTGTAGAGAGCGTGAAATCTACAACACCTCCATCTCGACAAAACCGAGCAAGGATGCTCAGCGACCACAGCACGTGGTCCATCGCCTGTAGCACAACCCGCTCCGTACAGCTGTGCGCCTCGTTCACTCGGTTTTCTTTGAAGTCATCAATGGGCCGAAGTTTCTCCTTCTGAAGGACGCCAAAACGTCTGACTGGCATCCAAACAGGATAATCTGCAAAGATATCCTGTATCGAATGGGGCCCGTCCAACCAACCCTTCTCAGTCGCCTCCTTGCGAGTGATCTCGATCAGTTGCCGGCTGTGGGGTCCCTCCGGCTCCTCGGCGACCCTCGAGAGGATGGCTGGGCGCAGGTACTGCGACCGTTCCATCAGTTCCTCCTCGCTGAGGGTTGCGACTGTGACGCCTGGCCTGAACACATTGGACTGCGTGGCATTGCCGACCAACCTGAAGCCACTTCTCAGTTCTTCAAACAATTGGCGGTCAGGCCAGCCAATGGACTCCGCAACTCTCTCGAGCAGAACTGTTCGCTTCAGGCCAAGGACCTTGCGGACGTTGGGGTGCATCTTCGCCCGCGCCAAGTCTTCCTCAAGTTTCAGTTCGGCAGCCCACTGTCGCCAGGTGGCAAGCCTCTGCAGCCTCACTTTCGCCAGCTCCAACGGAGAAAATGTCAGCTGCTCAAAGATTGCTTTCAAGAGGAAGTCAGGTAGTTGCACCAGAGTGTCGAACGGGCGCCAAAGAGTCCTGGCCACCTGGAGAAACTGCAGTGGGGGGGGGGGGCGATAGACACCGAAAACGCACATAACCCCCTTACATCCCCTATTCTCGGAACGCAACAACTTGCTACCCTTGGGCGCTGCCCGCACAGGCTGGCATAGGCACTGCTTACCATCAAGAGACGGCAGGCACGGCAGCACATATGACACGACATGACTGTACTCGAACACGATTTGCGGGTGAAGGCGTCCTCGCTGCTGCTTCATGGCACGTGCTGCCAAGGGTTTGGAACTACCCACCTTCGTGCCACGCTCAACCAAGGAAGCCTCGACTACATCGCAGATGGCTTCGCACATCAGGGGCGGGTACGCAGCCTCCTCGCGCGTGCGGAAGGAGTTGTCCGTATCATTGCGACCCCAAGGCCCATGGCTTGCACACCCCGGACACCCACTCCCTCAAGGCTTGAAAGAAAACTGGTCTTCTTGTCACGCGAGCTCCCAAATGCACAAGCCTGACAATGCGCAAAGCGACCCAACGCCAAGGCTCTTCCGAAGCAAGGGAGCTCCCATAACCAAACTATTGGTTGGGTTTTCAATGCACCACGGCACGCCCAGCTTGTCACACACGTCGACGCACTTCGCGAGCACGCGGTACACTGCATTGCTGGCATCAAGCTTGACACGGTCGACGCCGACAACCGAAGGCATGCCCCATGGATGCTCGACACTGCGAAGGGTCAGTGGTCCAGGGCTCCCGTCTGGCAACGGTAGGACCCTCTGGCTTTGCTGCAAGTCCCGCACGGCGGCGCCATGTGCACGAACGCAACTTCGCAAGTGCTTAGCACAGACTTGAGAACATCCCACGCGTGCTGGGTCGCCAGGTCCAAGGTGAAGACCCGACACTGCGGACAGTGTCTGTTTCTGGCGCAACAGGCATCACAGAAAATTCTCGGCGCGCTGCAGTGGCACTGAGGGCTGCCGTTCTGGCGCACAGCTCTATGAACAGGGGACCATCGTGCGGGAGTCCATCTTAAGAGACTTGAACACTCACGAATTGGTTCAGAAATCCCAGACTGGTGAACTCTGGCATCAACGCTCGATGCATTGGCAGAGCGCCGATGATTTTCATGGCCTGTCTGACGGGCGACTTCTGGTTGCCCCTTCCCACGCAACTCTGCATGGAGTTGCGGCGTCAGATCGTGAGCTTCGTCACCATCTGACCAGCATTGCACTTTTTCACAGCCTTGGGCGCAAGGCGATCCCTCACACAACTCTCTATGGAGTTGTAGCGGGGTAGGTTCCTAGCACCTCTTAGTGCTCTGCTGAGCTCTGTGCAGACCTAAACTGGCTTGAGTCACTTCTGGTCACCAAATACCAGGTCACAAACAGGAAACGAGTTCCGACAAACGAGTTTCGAGAAAACGAACAGAAAACGGTTCTTCCCACTCAAAACAAGGTCTCACCAAGCCAAAAGAAATCACTGCCTGACATGTCCTCGTGCCTATGCTTCACACTCATAGCAGACAACTCAAGTGCAAAGCGATCTTGGCCAGAGGGTTCATGGGAAAGCCTTTGCTGGTTGCGACAGCGCTTGCGCAGCACGTGAGCGGTTTCTTGGGAGGGCTCTTCTGTAAAGGCCTTCTGGAAAGGCAGCTCCCAGGAACAGAGCAGGAGGTCAAGGTGGGTCTACGTCACGCTGCCGCGAGAAGTGTGCCACAACAGTCATCCAGCAGTGTGTCGCCAAGGCAGATTGTGAGCCTTCCGAGCCATCTAAGCTCCAGAAAGATCGAAGCAGAGAACCTGGTCATTCGGGGTCGTGGCGCGCTCAAGTCTCTTTGGTTGTCGCTGTTGGCTTAGCCTTTGTCTTGGGCTGCATCTCTGCAGACGACGGGAGCAAGTCGAGGACAGCAGTGAGGAGCAAAGTCCGACATCGCCACAAAAGTGACAGGAACTGTCATCGACAGCTCGTGTTGATCCGACGTTGCCGTCATGACTTTAGCTAACCAGCGAATCTTCCTTAGATTATGACGTGCCAGGACCTGAACTCTGGCACGAACGGCTGGTGTTGGCTCATGCGAGAAATGAGGACTATGCTGTGGCCACGCCAGACTCCGATGTCTGCAGAGAACAGCTCTCCTTGCATCTCGGGGTCTGGGAAGAGGCCTCCCTGTGGGCATCCGTGCAGTCAACACATCCCTCTACCAGCTTTCACGGCAGCTCAGCTCGCTGCACTCCAAGCAGAAGGAGACCGGGTGGTGGCTGAGGAACTTGGGAGACAAGGTCCTGGTCAGGTCGGGGCTGCGGTCGTGGAGGCCAGCCTTGTGACCCCGCCAAAGACTGTCTGCTCCTCCAAAGACAAGCGGCCACCTGCCGCCTTCCGATCATCTGCAACCGTCTGAAAAGAATCTCGAGGCTTAGCAAATTAAAGGAGTTGAGTTGGTCATTCAACACGGCAGTCTTTATCACCATGCAAGTTGAAGTGCTCAGACACCCCCCAGTTTGAAGCGTCAAGACGGAATACTTGTCGGAATCGTTCATGGTGACCCTCAAGGCCCATATTCTCGACCACCAAGTAGCTTATGCACCATTTTGCCGTTCGAGGCCCGCTGAGTGTCCATCCCATCTTCTTCTCGATGCTGAGCTGGGCGGCATCCTTCAGGGTCGTCTCAGGTCGCCCCATCACATCCAGCACAAGGCCAAGCGTTCGCGGATCATTGAGCCCAGCACGTCGCAAGAATGCATCTCGGCCATTGTCTCTGACACACTCAACGAAAATGCTACCACCAGCCGGCAAAGCGTGGACTGACTTCACATCGACCGCGGCTGCGGCACCCACCCCAGCGTCTCCATATCGGTATCCTCCGGCGCACTCTGCTGCCAGCCAGTACAAAGTGCCGGCCTCAAACACTGGGTCTCCTGCTGCTGAAGGTGCGGCTGCCAGTGGAGCCACCGCTGGCTGAGCTGCCGGCGCAGC